CCGGCTATCTAGATGGTCCGCGGTGGGGAGAAGCCCCTCAAAGTGGGGGGATTCCCCACTCAGACCTGGGGCTGGTAACCCCATGGCCTCTTCTTAGACCAGTATGGCAAGCCAAGTGTGCCCTATAGGGCTTCTTGAAATCACATTAGATTCTTTCTCCTTGGAAGAATTTGGCCACCATTTTAGGCTGCCCATTGTTAGTTTAAGCATGAAATAGGGTTGTTGTTTTCAATCTAACCTACAGCATGTTTAAATCAGGCCTACACCATAAACCAGAGAGGAAAGTGCTAACTAATGTTGAGGTTTTCTCCTGTTTTAAAACATTTTAAATCTGTCTTTGCTGTTAAAAGATAAAATAATCATTCTGATATAGAGTGGTTACAGTTTGAGGGAAGACAGAATCTGAACTGAATGTTCCTAACAGACCTTATTGGCATACTGAACCCAACCAAACCTTTAAACAGTAATATATCACTTAGGCAGATTCTCAGAAGAAACACGGTCTTCATGGCTGAAAGCCAAGTCTGCTGTTGATTTTTTTCTAATGTACCTTCTGCACCAATTGAGACGAGTTTGACGCCTTTGCTGGCTATAAAATCCAGGGCTTTGTTGACATTTGCAATTTTATGGAAACGCATCTTCCCTCTATCTGGTTTCGGTAGTCTTTCCCCTGTAGAAAAACAAATTGCGTACATTTATTCACTCTTGACATCTGACTGCAGGCACCACAATGGCTAGACTGATAGAGGGGACAATGTTTTATGCTATCTAAAAACTAAGTATCAAGTTTTACAGATTTCTACTCACTTCAGAGCCCATTCCTGAAAAGAAATGCAAGTGTAAAAGTGGCTCATTTTGAGTATTTTTGATACAGCAGCAAAATTTAAAATTAAATTGTTATATTTGTACATTCACCTTTCAGTTTTATATTTTGTGGACTATTTTGTGGACTATTGTAATGGTCTTCTTTGCACTTATTCTAATTTGAACGCAGTTTTCAACACCATGTAACCAAAATATGCATTACTTTCTTTGACAGCTTATGAGAGAGAGGCTGCTTTCTCACTGTTTAGTCTGGAATTTTCATAATTCATTTACTTAATTTTAACTGCTGTAATAGGCATTACAGGATTTTTGTGGAGAGTATATCACTATCCTGAATGTTGTATGGAACCCTACTTTCAAATCAGTTTGTAGCTGATTACATAAAAGGAATCACTGAGCAATTCAAAAGCATCGTGATCAAAAGCAGCCACAATTGATTGATGAGCGAGCTATATATGGTTAAAGGCACACAGGTTTTGAAGGATTCCTGTGTAGCAATAAAGATGGCAGGGATGTAGTAGTGTGTGGGAGTAGAAACTAATGTTCTTCTCTCTACCATTCCAGATTATAACTACATCTAATTTGTAGTCTCTTTTTACCAAATTTGGAATTTGTTTAATGCCAAAAAACATGACTGGTTGCAACCCTATTCCGATACATTTTATGCACAAATTAGCCTAAGTAAATTCAAATGTGATGGCTCATAAGTGTGCACTGGGTTGCCCCTTAAATAATTGCAAACATACAGCAGAGCAAAAGTCAAAAATGGAACCAGAAAAAATAAAACACAATAAAACCTAATGTTACAAGGTAGATAAGCTTTGCCTCTTGTTTATCACTTTCATACTTCTCTTTTTGTTGGGGTACCATTTCCTCCCTGCCAGGGAGAAGTATTTGCAAGGAAGTAGATTCAGACAGCCATATTTTATATTCATGTCTCATGGATGTTAATTAATAAAATGTGTAGCTATGTACATTGGAACAGCCTATTGTTGTGGACAAAGAGGTTTTACTTATCCTCATTCAGTTGTAAACAAGTTCTGCAACAATGTACTGCAAAGTCATGATGAGTTTTAGAAATATGTTGTGGTGAAGATATGACAATCTTTAAACAAACCTGAAATGACTTCCAAAAGCAACATCAGTTTAAGGCCATTCCTGAAATCCTCTTCAATATTCTCAATCTGTGTCCCTGCTTTCCGTAGATGGGAGTTGCACCATGCTGTAAATGTCTGCAGTAATAATTGTTACAGTGTTATAACCAGCTACTATAGTTCAACTGAGAACTGGTTAACTCCTGATTTCAGTAATTTTTACAGTGAAGAGACATTAAATGTTAAAATTTGCGAAATGCTTTGCCTCTCAACTTGGCAAATACGAGACAAATTTATTTCATATTTACTGAACAGTAAGATCAAGCAGTTCTAGAATTTCACTGTCTTCATGGATGTGCCCACAGTATACCTTGAAACATCCCCACACAATATACCAGGTTCTTTGCTTCTCCTGTAAGAGAATACACTACAGAAATATGTAGTGTATACACCACCCATTGAATGCCCACTTATTTGGCGATAAATTTGTCATAGGATGGGTTCCCATATTGTTTTTATTTATTAAACATTTTTATGCTGCCTTTCCATCTGATCAGGGTCACCCAGGTGGTGCACATAAAATGTTAGAACAATTAAAAACAACATTAAAATTATAAAACAATTCAACAAAATGTCCATGTTGAAATTGCTCTTATCAGTTACGGTATATGATTGGAGTTTGGAAAGAACAGGCTATCAAGTGGCAAGGCTATTTTTGGGCAGGAACGCACAGGAACGGAGTTCCAGCTGGCTCCCGAGTTGGCCACGCCCAGCAGGAACTCATTAGCATAATAGGCCACACCCAACAGCAGAAACTCATTAGGATTGGCTACAATTAGGGGTGTGTGGCCTAAAATGCAAAGGAGTTCCTGCTCCAAAAACAAAGCCCTGTGTTTTGACAACAAACAAGGTAAAAAGAATAAGAAGCAAAAGGTGGGTGTGGCTGGATTCTGGTAACATGGGGGCATGGCCTAATATGTGAATAAGCTGTGCTGTTAGGGGTGTGGCCTATTATGCTAATGAGTTCCTGCTGTTGGGTATGGCCTATTATGCTAATGAGTTCCTGCTGGGCTTTTTCTACAAAAAAAGCCCTGTCAAGTGGTAATTACAATCACCATATGGGGGGAAAAATCAGACTTAACTTTGAATATTAAAAGGGGAAAGAGTGACTTACAACCATCCCTGCATGGAAGTCATACAAAGTCTTCCCAGGTTCATGTTTTCCTGAAGCCCCCATTGACCCCCACAAAGATCATTCCTGGGATAATGTTCCTCCATGGAGATCTCAACCATGTGAATGAGGGAATGGTGGAGCAGAGTGAGACAAGGACAGAATTGCTGCTCTCTCCCCTCAGTGGAGATGCTCCTGTGGAAGAGGGAGGAGGACTGATATGTCCTCTTGTTCTTCCTGACTGCAGCCCTCTTGACTGTCATGGCTGTTCCTCTGCATGGGTCCAGCAACCCCAGGAATGATTTTTCCAGGGTCAAGAGGGACTGCAGAAATGAGCACACAAAAACTCCACATTTTGTGCATTGTTTGAGTACAGGCAGCTATCATATAATTTGGAGAATATTTGATTTATGAGGACTTTAAACAGCTGATTGATAAGATCACCTATTCAGTTGCTTAGCAATCTTTTAAATCAATACAGCAATCTCTGTATGTGACATGCGTGATTAGTTGTGACTAGTATCTAAAGAGATGCAAGGCTCTGGACATTAGCAAATACTTTAAAATTGTGTGTCACCTTGTAACTTGTTGGCTAGTTCCAACTTGATATTTTGTACCTTAGGATGAATCCTAGGATTTCAGTGGGTTCACATTTTTTTTTTCCCCTGAATAGAGCATCCAAGGAACTTCCTTGTTGGTGATCCAGTTAGACATTTGGATAACTGAGGACTTTTCAGCATTCTCGTTTTACTGGTTGGTAAATTCTTGTTTCTTGGGGGGGGGGGGTTCTGTTCTGCACATGTTTTGCTCCCTCTAATGGTCAATTTGATATAGAGTACTATATCTGGCATAAAAATCTGCAGTTTAATTCTGCAGGGAGATATGCTAGAATTAAATCTCCAGGCCCTGTCTGGATGTTGGCAACCCTAGGCCTGGCAGCACCCTCTGGCTGACTTGATGGCACCTGACTTACATAACTCAACTAGGTCTGCCTGCTTGCAATTTCCTTCAAGAGAACTGCCACTGCCGACATCCAGGTGAGGTCTGGAGATCACCCAGAATTACAACTGCTCTCCCAGTGACAGAGATCAGTTCCCCTGGAGAAAATGGCTGCTTTGGGGGGGGGGGTCTATGGCATTAGATCATGCTGAGTTAGCTTCCCTTCCCAAACCTGACCATTCCAAGGCTTCACCCCCCCAGATTTCCAGGAATTTCCTAGCCTGGAGCTGGCATCCCAAAGGAGAACTGATCTCTATAATTGGGAGATCCATTGTGATTCCCGAGGAGCCGCCATCGCTACTGCTGCTGTGGGCAAGGGCAGGTAGGCAATTGGGAGAATGATGGGGTGGGGAGCAGAAAGAGAGAGGAAATGGCATGGGGGACAAAGAGAGTAAGAGAACAGGTGAGAGACAGAGAAGTAGGGGGAAGTAGGAGGAAGCAAAGGTAGGGGAATGGGATAGCCACTCCTTCAAGTTTCTCGCAGGTCCCCATTTGTATTTCATATAAAACTTTGAGCTAAGATGGTGGTTTCCTTTTTTAGAAGTATAAACAGAGAAAGCCTGTGAGCAGGAACCAATGGAAATGTACCCTCACGTGGTTTGGGGTTACCCACAAGCGCTGAGCAAAGTTGCTGCATGGGCTCATATTGGGAGCAGGGGTGAATGTGGCATTTCTACTGGTACTGTCTTTCTGGTGGGGCGGATCTTGGAGCAGAAGATGGGGAGGTACGATGTGCAGCACACTTTCTTAGTGGGATTCTGTGCCAGCTTGTACTGACATCCTTTCATCTGATTGGGAGAGACGGGCCTGCAAGTATGTGGGCCCCAAGTGGCAAAGTACTTTAAAGGTGGGCGCCAACACCTTGAATTGGCAACCGCCCACAAAGGTTGCGAAATAGATGTAGCCGACCCATGATAACAGACTGTAGCATTTTGCACCAATTGCAGCTTCCGGTCATCTTCAAGGACAATCCTACGTACAGCAGTCAAGGTTAGTGCTGTATGGATCCGTATAGCCTTACATGGACTGGGACCAATATATCTAAGGGACCACCTCTTCTCATATTCGCCCCAGAGAGAGTTGCACTCTAAAGATCAACACCTCCTGGTGGTCCCTGGCCCCAGGGACGTCTGTCTTGCCTCAGCCAGGGCCAGGGCTTTCTCTGCCCTGGCCCCAGCCTGGTGGAACAAGCTCCCTACTGAGATCAGGGCCCTGCGGGATCTTCTTCAGTTCCGCAGGGCCTGCAGGACGGAGCTCTTCCGCCAGGCCTTTGGCTGAGGCAGCGGGCGCCCACACATGGCCTCCCTGAGGTTGCTGTCATCTGCCCACTGATAGCTGGCCACTATTCCATCCATATCAACCGGCCAGGATCCTTATAGCCAGCTGAATCCTCGTTTTAATTGTAACTACCAATTTTAATGTTTTAGATTGCTTTGTGTTTTAAATATTGCTTTGTGTTTAAATTTTGAAATCTGATTGTATTTATTACAAATGGCGTTACCCGCCCTGAGCCTGTTTGCGGGATGGGCGGGATACAAATATAAATAAATAAGAATAATGAATAAATGGCAGTCTATAGATAGAGGGAAAGCTTACAGGCCAGGTGTACCGCAGACACTTGTTTCACCAGTAACAGTACTGAATCCTAAGAGGCTTGGCAAGAACATTTAATGGTGTGTGTCAAAGAAAGTTGAAGTCCATCTAATGTGGGAAGGAAGGCCTTTCCAAAGAGAGCCAGTTTGGTGTCGTGGTTAAGTGCGCGGACTCTAATCTGGGAGAACCGGGTTTGATTCCCCACGCCTCCACTTGCACCTGGCTGGATGACCTTGGGCAAGCCGTAGTTCTGGTACAGCTGTTCTTGGAAAACGAGCAGTTTCTGTCAGAGCTCTCTCAGCCCCACCAACCTCACAGGGTGTCTGTGGTGGGGAGGGGCAGGGAAAGGAGTTTGTAAGCCGCTCTGAGACTCCGTTGGGTAGTGAAGGGCGGGGTATAAATCCAATCTCCTCCTCCTCCTCCTCCTCCTTTGTGTCTCACCAACCAAGATCAGCCTCATCCCTGTCAGGATTCAGTGGAGGTCTAGATTAGGCAGTTCCTCGTTATATGTAGTCTGTAATTTGGGGATGTAACAGTCAGCCTTTCAGTAGTTTCAACTCATGGCTTTTTGGGTCTTCTGGACGGTGGTGGAAGGTGATGTCAAGTCACAACCGACTTATGATACCCCGTAGGGTTTTCGAGGCAAGACAGTAACAGAGGTAGCTTGTCACTGCCTGCTTCTGTGTAGTGGCCCTGGAACTTCCTTGGTGGTCTCCCATCCAAATTCTGACCAGGGTCAATCCTGCTTAGCTTTTGAGAGCTGACAAGATCAGGCTAGCCTGACCCATTCAGGTTAGGGCATCTTCTGGAGAGGAGAAACAAGTTTTCATAGAATCATAGAGTTGGAAGGGGCCATACAGACCATCTAGCTCAATGCAGGACCAGCCTAAAGCATCTCTGACAAATATTCGTCCAGCCTCTTCTTGAAAGCTGCCAGTGAAGGGGAGCTCACCACCTCCCTAGGCAGCCGATTCCACCTTTGAACCACTCTGACCGTGAAAAGGTTTTTCCTAACATTTCTGTTATGTAGTTTAAACCCATTGCTTCGGGTCCTGTCCTCTGCTGCCAACAGGAACCGCTCCTTGCCCTCCTCCACATGACAGCCTTTCAGATACTTAAAGAGAGCAATCATGTCCCCTCTCAATCTCCTCTTCTCCTCAGTCTCCAGACCCCTGATCATCCTCCGTCGCTCTCTCTGCACCCTCTCGATTTTGCACCCTCTTCTCTTTTTGGAGATGATTCTCCTGATATTGGAGATGATATATCCCATATATCAGCAGCTCTTCCCATTTTCCCTCATGATGTATGTCTTCTAGACCTTCTGCGTTCTGCGTCTTTTCACCTTAATCTTTTTTTGACTCGTAGGGTTCAGAAACCCAATACAGTATTTCCTGTGAAGTTCCATTAGTGCTGAGTAGAGTGATGCTATTTCTGAGTCTTGGAAATGACCCCTGTTGCTTATATATCCTAAAATGGAATTGGCCTTTTATCCCCTCAGCATCAAACTGTTGCTTTCTGCTCAGTTTGTAATCCGATACACCCCGTAACGACTTAGCTGGTCATGCCCCATAAGTAGAAGTGTCCAAAACTCTGAGGCAACCAGTGAGCTGCTGCAGTTGCTGCAGCTTGCATTGAAAGCAAAGCTTGGTATTAGCAAATTAATCTGTTTGAAACAGGAATTACTGTAGTTTGGACGGAGAACTCAGGAGAGTCTGTGGTTCAGCCTTTTGGTAGCATGATGTCAGGGCAATTTGCATGGCCCAGTTGTTAGCGTGGTCAGCGATCCGTTCCTGAACTCTGTCCAAAGCTCATTAACATCAGTAAAAAAAATAAATGGGTTTTAGAGTAGGCCCCAATTTCATAAGCCTGGGGGAATACAAATGCCTTTTTTTGCTGCAACTAAAACTCTGTGAGAGAGAGACAGAGAAAGAGAATTAAAAGTTGGGGAGCACTTTTTCTAGAGCTCAGTTTTTTTGTTTCTCCAATATTTGCTTGCTTTAACGTTACCAGTATCAAAAGACATGTACGCCCCCCATCTATTGCATTTTATCCAATCAGAAGGAAACAATGAAGCCCTCTTCATCATTCATTTTGCAAATTGCCCTTTGCTGATCACTTGGATAAGGGCCTTTATGCCAATAAAGGTCAACTGAACTGAACTGCATAAAGGCACATAGAAAATCTACTTCGTTTTTCCTTTTGGCTAAAACGTGTTGAGCAAAGGGAGCTTTTCAGAGCCTCAAAAACGGGGAAAAGGTGTTTGTGTGTGTGTGGGGGTCTCCTTCGCCTTGGGCTGTTGAGGGACCTGTCCTTTGATTATTGCTCTTCCCCTTCCCCTCTTCTTTTCCTTGGCTTTGCGACATGTCAGTGCTGCCAAATTTCTGCTAGCTGAGCATCAATGCCAGAGAAGTAAAAAGGACTGCCAATTTAAACTCACTCAGCTGCCATCCTACAGAGTACAGGGAAGCAGTAAAGATAATGCGTTTGGTGGTGCGTTGTGTATAAACAGTCAACAGATTGTGCGTCGTCTTTCATGTGCCTGTCCCATGCCTGAGCATCTGGCACGGTTCTAAAGCAAGTTCAATGTTGCGGTGAAAGGAGAAAAGAAAATAACCCACTCATGCTTAACTGTTATCTTAGCATTCATAACTGTCTTGTGCTGATTCAATATTAGAATACATCATAAAGGCAGAAGTAGGTCAAGACTAGCCCAGGGCGCATCTTATACGTTTACCCTCCCGAACACCGAATCCTCTGTTGGGTTAGTGTTTGCATTGGTAATTGCAGAGTTTCGTCCTTGAAGAAGATTATAGATCATCAGAATCTTGCTTTAAAGTGAACTCTGCGACCATCAAAGTAGTGTCTCTCTTTGCTTATAGGCCTAAATGGCATCCCAAAAAAGATGTCTCACTTTGCACTACTGGAGCGAAGTGTCACCACCACCAGCTGCTGTTGTTCTATGGCAAACGTTTAAGCAGCTGTAGCAGCTGCTGTGTCTTTGAAGAATTACCATTTTTAGCTTTTTGATGAAGAAGAGGAGTTGGTTTTTATCCCCTGCTTTTCGCTACCTTATGGAGTCTCAAAGCATTTACAATCATATTCCCTTCCTGTCACCACCACAGTCACCTTGTGAGGTAGGTTGGGCTGAGAGAGTTCTGAGAACTGTGACTGGCCCGAGGTCACCCAACAGGCTTCATGTGGAGGAATGGGGAATCCAACCTGATTCTCCAGATTAGAGCCTGCCGCTCTCAGCCAGTGTTCCGTCTAAGCTGAGTTAGTGTGAGCTTAGCTCACAGTTTCTTAGCCTCCAGCTCATGCATTTTTGTCTTCGCTCAGGAAGGATGGCTCCAGGGCAATGTAATTCATGCAGTAGCTAAATTGCTCACTCACAACTTTAATGCCAGTAGCTCACAAAGTAAAATTTTTGCTCACAAGACTCCACAGCTTAGAGGGAGCATTGCTCTCAACCACTATCCCACACTGATTCTCAGTGTTTCTTCTGAGGGGCGCTAATGTTTTCCACACAGAGGTCCTTTCCGCATTTGCCTGCCACGCCAGATTTTCTCAGTGTTCGAGTCGAGGCAGTTTTAAGTCCACAGCAAAACACCAACCAAATAACCTGGGGCAACAGCAGGCTGAAACGGGGCTGACCACTGAAGGGAGGTGATGTCATGCAGAACGGTGAAACAAACCCAGGATAAAAAGAAGGTTGAATTCAATTTTAGTGCAGGATTGCTTGGAGGACACCACGGTAAACATGTGTGCAGAAAAGAAGGTTGACTTCGATTTTAGTGCAGGATTGTTTAGAGGACACCACGGTAAACATGCACGCAGAAAGAGCCAGAGACAGGCTCGCATAGTTCCCTTGTTGCTGCTGTGGTTGCTGATACAGCGCAACATGAGGTTTCCATATGGCAAGTTCCTGTGTAGTTTCCCTGCCCTAGTTCCCCAGCAACAACCATTCCACTAGGGACTTTTCAGGTTTTCTTAAGAAACTGACAGCTGAAATATTGTTCTGTCATCATAACAATGCGTGTATCGGGTCCTCTGAATTCCCAGCTTCCATTAATTTTTTTTTTAAGGTAAGGTTCTAGCGCTGTCTGTTTGTGAAGATACATCTTTCCATTCCATCTCTGCAGCCGAAGGGGCTAGAGACTTGCTTTATAAAAACAAATATGAAAGCTAGGTATTCAGAGAACCTCATATACAGGTTGTTATAACATTATAAAGGTAAAGGTTTCCCTTGCTCGAAAGCCAGCTGAATCCGACTCTAGGGGTATGGTGCTCATTTCCGTTTCCAAGCCGAAGAGCCAGCGCTGTCCGGAGACGTTTCTGTGGTCGTGTGGCCGGCATGACTAGATGCCAAGGCGCACAGAACGGAACATTATAGCAATATCTAATTGACAACTCAAGCAAACAAACCAAAAATCCCCTGGCGGCAAGGGACAGGAAACAGCGGCGGCAGGGGCAAGAAAAAAGGATGCCTTGTGGGCAGGTCTGGGAAAACCCAAACTTTCCCACCCACACGGCAGCCATCCAGGTGTCGCTGTGATCTTTAACAAAAGTCTTTAGCAAAACAGGTTTGGAGAAAATGTGGGAAAGCCCTGGGAGGGGTGTTCCCTCCAAGCCGAGTTAGTGTGAGCTAGCTCACAGTTTTGTAGCCTCCGGCTCACAAATTTTTTGCCTTAGCTCAGGAAGGGATGGCTCCAGAGCAAACTAACTGATGCAGTAGCCAAATTGCTTGCTCACAACTTGAATGCCAGTAGCTCACAAAGTGGAATTTTTGCTCACAAGACTCCACAGCTTAGAGGGAACACTGCCTGGGAGGTGCATGAGTGCACCTTGATGCTGTGGGGAAGCAGTGAAAAGTCTCTTCCCAGCAGCACTGGACTGGGGCAGATAACCCATGTGGACAATAGATTTCTTTTCTGCTTCAGTCAGTGACTGATGGAGAAGAGACACTCAACTGACTGAAGTTGTGAATGGTGTGTGAGCGCATGGGCACACAAGTAACACTTCGGACGGTTTGGTTCAGACTCACGTAGCGAACCTCCCCAAGTCAAGGAGTAAAGACTTGTGCCATCACAAGACAGAGACAGTATTAAGAGCTAAAGACCGTGTAAGCAAATCTTGCCCATGGAATACACACACTCCTTTGTGGTGTGAGGCAGCGGTCATTTCCTGCAGGAACGCACAGGAGCGGAGCTCCAGCAGTAAAGAGCCCAGAGGGCGGGCACATGCAACAAGCCCCACCCCCTGCTCCCAGCAGCCCTCAGTCAGAGCAAGAAGCAGCCAGGTAAGTTGCAGAGCCCCCCCCCCCCCACCGCCCCAAAACAGTCCAGTGGCACCTTTAAGACCAAGTTTTATTCAGGTACAAGCTCTCCCTCCTCTGCGAGATCTGCACGTCCCCCCCTCCCCCCAAAT